GATTTTGAAAGCTATGTAAAAAGAACACTTTGTGTAGGTTAGGGTGGGCTAAACCCATGATGAGCCCACCCTGAACTGAAATCCTGGCGCCGCTACTATCCACGAGATTTAATATCCATCGCTGATAAGCGTATTTTACATTTAGAGAAAACAGTCTATTGAAAAGAGATGAGGAAAAAAGGAGTCAAACCTTTTGTTGATCCTCATTATTCGTCATTGTTATTATAAGTATGATTATTGGTACTCGAATAAAAAATTATTCGTTTTATTAACTCTTTCATTTTATTGTAGTGATGTTGTTTGAACGTTTTCAATAGGACTAGATGATTCTAGTTGAAGAATGGATTGTTATTGTTGTTTGATGATTATACGGAATAAATCGGTTCATTATAATGTTTTTGATTTAGTTGATGATGAAAGATTATCATATGATGATTTTAATGTTTTAACTGAACCTTTATTAACAATTAATATTGCATAAATCGATAAATTATTATTATCATTATCTGAATCAGTTATATTGTTTCATGACTTAAAGCAGATGAATTATTGGTTTCAAAAAAAACTTTGAATAAAATAAAATTTATTATGTATTTCAATTTCATCTTCCATCATAAGTTGCTTATTTATTATCATGTTGATGTTTCATTATTAAATAAATTCATTGATAACATTATATATTTAAAAATGATTTTTATTTTGTTCAATTGGTGATGTTTATTCATTAAGAGCATTTTGATTATAATTTGGTAGTGTAAATGGTTCAAGGATTTGTTGACATTCTTTATACAAATTAGATGTTTGTTTTTAATTTTTTATATTCCTATCATGAAGATAATATAATGAAGTTCCGACAAGGAAAAGAGAAAGAGACAAAAAAAGAAAAGAAACGAGAAATCTATATGGTGGCATAAGTTATCAAATATTGATTTTACAATCAGGAACGTTGAGCACCACGTTGATCAAGCTCTTAAATAGAACAATGAGGGAAATGCATGAAGGAATGTTGCAATTTAAGATTTAAGATTTCACTCACGAGCTTTCATTTTGTCTAAATATACTTTGAGAAGATGACGTTGGCCAGCAACAGCAACAAACTCTTTCATCTCTTCATCGAATACTTGATCATTCTTGATAGCTTGTTCACGTTGTTGAATAAGATTATCTAATCTGATTATTTCTGTTTCATAAGCCGTAATCTATAAAGTAAATGAAACGAATTTTAGACAAGAGAATAGACGAAATATAGTACAATATGCAAATTTAAGTGTTAGTTTCAAGTCGACCATGCAGCACGAGCTATGAAAAGAGCCTATCAGATTCAATAATATTGAACCGGTTCTGGTTAAAACGATATTTTTTGACTTGGTTGCGTCCGAGTACTTTTGATGGGATCTAGCTATGAAGCTGTTCTTATCGTAAATATTATCATATACAAATTGAACTTCTCTTAAAACTAGAATATATATACCAAGTTCAATCAAAAGTCTTCAGCTCTATTCTAATAAAAGGACTGGAAAAGTTCATCTATCTAATACAAAACTCTAGTTGAAGAATCGAAAAGGGAGTTGATAATGTATCTTGATCGAAATCAAAATGTAGACTGAAAAACAGAAACTACAATATAATTTTAAATTAATTCTTACCATATCGATAGCCATGTTATCTGAGGAAACAAACAAGGAAATGAATGCTTATGTAGTCATGCGTTCTCAATCTTTTATACATTTTCATTCTCCTTCATCAACCAATTAATTGATCCCTATTCACAATGGTCAAATAGATCAACGAGAAAAGAAAGAAAACGTATTTATGGACGAGCATTGTTGTAAGTGGAGTACTCAACCTATTGAGTGAATAGAGAGGAAATAGTTGTACTATGTGCTCAATTGTCACAATTGAAAAAATATCAGAATTTCCATGCAAATATTTTTTTAGCAGAATCAAATTTCGTGGATACAAACTGAATAGATAAAAAAAGGATACATATTCTATTTTGCCTGCAGAAAAAAGTGCAAAATAAAATAAATCCAAACATCAATTTACGAGAAATCGTTTGTTCAATATCGAACTTACAATTGAGCATTGGACCCGGTGTTCGTTGACATGTTCAAATACTAACAAATTGTAAAGAATATCAAGACGAAAGGGTGTGGGTGTGGGTGGTGTTGATGTAAGTACAGGATTCTATTCACCCACACCCTCACTCCCACACCCACACCCACACCCACACCCACACCCACACCCACACTCACCCACACCCACACCCGCCTCTAGAGCTTGTAGCCAAATTGTTTCACACAGGTGTCTCTATTATTGGGCTGGCCATACATTAACAGATACCACTTATAATTACAAAAATGTCAAACAGAGTCTTGCATATGCATTTGAGGTAACATTGCTAGATGCATGGAATGTGCGATCGTGTTCTCATCTTACGAAACAAAAGTTAATAGGCAACAAGTCGAAGTGGTGTAATGTGGAGGTGTCTGCATGGCGGGGGGGGGGGGCGGGCGAGCGCACGAGACGAGCCACGCCTGCACCCACACCTGTACATATGAGTATGAGCATTGCTCTATAGATGCAAGATTATTTAGTGATTTCTATGCTCAAACAGAAAATTAAGCATTAAAAAAAATGAGTTCTGTAGCACTTTTTCACTGGTATGATTTTATCCATTTGAAGACACGAATGTTGTATTAAAGGGTATTAGTTCCCCAATATTTACCCCTTGACTATACTGAACCAATTCGATTGTCAGTACACCGTAGTAAATGTTGATTGGCATGTTACCTATAGCTCGAATAGCTGCATCGATTACATGTAAACCTGGGGATAAATAAATCAATTCTGATTTTGTTATTGCCGTTGCTATCGCTGTTGAAAAAGCATATTGCCCTACACCAATATGATCAACAGAATGAACATCAGCATGACCTGGTATTGATTTATAACGGTCTATGCTATTTTTTATTAATTTATCATTATAAATAAGATAATCATTTACCATAATACGGGGAAATATCCATACGCTGGGCTTTAAAGCATGACATATGGCATCAAATTTTATTTTGAATAATAATGGTTCCGTATGATAGAACGACATGGTGAAACCAGTTACTTTAGCGTACACGTTGGATGCGCCGCTAATCATGAAGGAAGGCGGTTCTTGAAACTTTCTGTAATATTTTTGTGACTGTATAAAACCAAATCCATTATTTGATCCTTGTGATGAAATTTGTATAATCTTGCCGTCTGTACTTTTAATCAACATTAGAAGTACAACATTGAATAATGCCCAAAATTTCATCATTCTGTGAACAGGAGCAGTATCCTTCTTCGAATAAGATATATATCTGAAGAACACAAGAAAATATTCATCTTTACTGCTAAAGGAATAAAGTATACTGTTAAATAGTACAATTGATTGACTCTTATTCTAACCTATAATAGAGATTTTATAGCATAGAGAGATTCCATGAATAAGATATTACTATTATTTCAATCATACTAATGTAAGAATAAACTTTATTCAAACAATTGATTACATAGATATTTTCACCAGAATATTAACGTCATTTGACAATTGTCGGTTACGAATAAATTAGTTAGAGATCAAAATCTAGAATTCGAAATCTTGTAAAATTATTTCAGAGAAACCTGATCAATTTATCAATCTACAGCAAAACTCTTGGATACATAGAATCACTCGAAACATGTGAAGAGTAAAATTTGTTTTCTCTCGTTTTTCTTACTTTGCGCAGTAGCAACAATAAAGATCGAGTGTATCCATTTTTATAATCGACACTAGAAAGTTGATTCTATCTGACTGGTGGATTATCAAACAACGTGTGCAGGTATGTGAGTGCCAATTAGAATGAATGAAAGATGCACAACCTCAGATGATTACCAATAAATAGTAAATCTTTCAGTTACTTCCTTACTGGCCAATATTGAATTACTGTACCTATTTACCAGTGAAGTAAAGTGAATTTTCAATTCTAAGCTATACATTTTTTTAAGAGAGGCATATTTAAACAAACTTTGTAGTTCTACTAGCTGAAATATCGATGCTGTTGTGTGTGGGAAAGTCGGTAACAGTGTAGAAATCTGAACTTTTCTCGTTGGTCAACTATTGTACGAAAATTGTCATGATGGGTTGCGAGTGGCTTTTTAGTTGGGCATCGTACGAGAAAAAAATCTGATTTTCTTTTCATTATGAAAGCCATTTCTTATTGATTGTGACGTCATGCCAGAAGCTGTTCAAACGATTTTTTTCTACTCAGACAATTTTACCCTCTGGAAGTTGTTTCGTAGAAAAGTTATTTGACTAGTAATCGAATGCCAGAAAAGAACAGTTGATCGGACCACTACTGCCATGGTTTACAATCAAAGAGAAATATCGTTCATGATGAGAATAAAGTCTGAGTCTTTCTCTTGTGCTGTTGATCTACAGAATTACTAGACAACCCGATATGAAAATCTAAGCTCGATCGATCATGGCTCACGAGAAAAGCTCATGTTTGTGAAATGGTAGTGCTGTTTCAAGGCGTGTCGTCATAACAAATACGCCGCGGTCATACTTAGACTCATAATTTTGTTTTCCTTCAGACCAATACATATAGTATAGCAATAACGAGTTCAAAGATGTCGCACTTGGGCACAATCGCGTTGCAAGGAGTAAAACATGTATCAGCGTTGTTCATTAGTTACAGTGACTAACACTTGCTAATAAATATAGAAATCATCTTTAGTTGTATAACTAAAGGAAATAATAATTTTTCAATGATTAAGAACTATAGAACTATAGCCTTTTACCTGTCCTCTTCGGGTTTTCTTAACCACAATAGTAACTAATTCTTACAGCGATCATGTAAACAGTGATTGGTGACTTCACCTATTTCATTCAAGGCTACATGAAAAAGGCAATCATATATCGAAAAATACTTATGATTATCTTCAGTATTGCTTGCACAAGCTTATCAACGTTCTACAAGCTTCAAACATATATATGCATATATGCATCGAGATAAGGGAATTATTATTACGAGCTCACAGCTCGGGCTTAAGTGGGTTAGCCATCACGAGCATATACTTACATAAGACTTTATACAAAACCTCTTTCATCAACAATTCAGGGTGTCTGCATGGTGTGCGTTTCGGTTTGAGTTTGTTGCAGTGTTTTCAGGTGTAATGTATGTGGGTATAGGAGTGGATTTGGTGAAAAACGTCGAAAAGGAAAACGTAGATGATTAAAACACAGCAAGGAAAACTGTCGAATAGGGAAAAAATGAGAGAGGAACGTGCCGAAATACGTCAATTCTCTGACCCAGAAATATTACTGAGGGTGTGGGCCTGGGCGCATGCGGACGTTCATACTAGTGTACGTTCGTCCAAGCGTAATTTTGAGTCGAAACAATATCAACAACCACAACCACACCCACCCACACCCCACACCCACTGCCACCCACAGCCACCCACACACCCTTTATTCGAGAAAGCTCTAGATATTTTCGAACAAAAGCTACCCAAAATTCATTCAAATATTAGCTTTTATATTGATAACATAGCTGTTGCCTATTTCAGATTGGCTAACTACGACACTGCTGAAAAATATTTGAACAGAAGTTTGACCATACGCAAAGCACTCTATGGAGAGATGCATTAATCTTGTGCAACGATTCACCGTAATTTCGGCAAGATACGTAATGCTCAAGGGTGTGGGTGTGGGTGTGGATGTGGGTGTGAATGTGGGTGTAAGAGAACAAAGCATTAACATCCATACGCGCACCTGGCCACGGTCACACACACCCCACACTCACACCCATCCCACACCCACACCCACCCCACACCCACACCCACCCCTTTCATATCATTTCTAAAATAATGTCAGAATTAACTTTGCTTAACTCCTATGCCTTGCATACATATATTCCTCCAAGATTCTATATGCAGAAGGGATACATTTTGCATCATTTCAAGCAAAAATAATCCAAAACACGTTTGAAAAAGAAACGCGTTTTACGTTTTCTCCAATTTATGTCACTGAAACGCGTTGTCTGTCCACCAAAGTGCATTTCACAGCATTTTAATTCGAAAGCGCTTCGAAACGATATCTCGAAAAAACGCGTTTTCTTCAATTTTTCACGGCATGTGTTGTTCTCTTAGTTTTTTTATACTTTTGGGTCATTAATACTGAGTGAAAGCGATAAAAAATCAAATAGTCAAATGTAGAAAACAAAAATTTTGAAAGAAAAATCGCTAATAATCGTTGAAAGCCAATGATGGGCAATTTCCACACATTTTTAAATAGCCAATCAGAGCTGAGGGTATTAAATTAAATACACTACAGACATTTAGTGAGTCTTATGCATTAAATAGAAACTAGAAGAAAAGGAATTTCAAAATGTAACAATGTTGATAAGAAGAATTGTAATGATCTGGAACAGCATCACTCCGAAAATATGCTCAATGTGGATAAATTTAATACCAAGAAGATTACAATGTTTGATCAAAAAAAAAGGTTATTCCATCAACAAAGAAGACTATAACAACATATGAAAATATAAAGTTTTTTATTATTTACTATTGTGTTTATGATAAAAATCATTTATTCTAGATGTTTTTTATCAACGAAAATTTATTGCGGTCTGTGAAAGAAACTTTCTCTATTGTTCGAGCTTATGTATCTTCCCTATAATTAGAGCTAGAGCTATGAAAATTTGGGACAATAATTATCCAGTTGCTAGGGATTATATGCTCAACTTTGAGTATTTTTGGATTTTCTATGAGGGAGAAACGGAAATTTCTCTATGAAGTACTAAGACTTTTGGATCACCCTTTATTTCTTATGGAAAGCTACTATAAATCTAACGAAAGCAATGAGTACATTAATCTTTCTCTCCAAATGCCTATCGTTAAAGTATTTCATAAAACAAAGAGATGACGTGCTCTGCGTCTACCTCATATTATTCTTGTTTTTTGTTGTTGGAACAATAAGTAAGTGAAAGAACATATATGATGAAAAAACTGCATTTGAATTTTTTTCTTTCTGTTCGCCTCAATAGTCGCAGTTTTTGCTTCACTGCTGAATGCTCTCAAGACTATCTAAATCTCAACTGGCAAGCAAACTCTTGCTTCACTCTTTCCATTCGAATATATCGTATGGTTCATAAGTTCTATCGTGGTTCACTCCTGTGCAGCTGCATAATATTTTACATTCACTTTTATGTCAATAAATTGCTGTCACTTTACACCATAGATTGGATTTTTCAATTTAATTTAGCTGTACTCAGAATGAATTTTATGTATACAATGTCTCAAGATGGAAGGTTCACAACGCATTACAAGATCATGCTCTTCAATTTTTATTATAGAACAAGCTATTTTTGGTTTAAACGTTTATCACTGTAAAGAGAATACAAATTCAGATAGTTCGCGCATTCAAATATTGGTGAATGTTAAGAACTACTTTATATTGCATTATCTTAGAATTCAGAGAAAAATGGTAGCAATAGAAATATGAGAAAACTTCAATTGATTAAAATTATTTTTCAACGTTCTTAAAATTCATCGAAACGAAATGAAATATCCTGAGTCGTAGAATCTCACATATTTCCCTTTAGACAGTACAAAGTTCTAAGAATGAAAGTCAAGTCAAAATCTGAGTAGAATACTAATGAAGTCGCTGATTCATTAGAAGTCATTCGATAGAGAAGTGATTTCATCTTATGAAACAAATTATATTTTAGATATTTCTTAATATTGACAAAAATGTTTTTATGCTGCAAACGTCAACATCACGTTTACCTCAATGAAACATTTCAGGATCATCGCAAGATAAACATTTTGGCAATATCATGAATTACTTTATACTTCGTTTTCGCAAAATTTACGTTAGTCGAACCATGAATGCTTATAGGTTGTCCAATCAGCTATTTTTTTTTCTAAAATTTATCTTTGTCTTGCTATACTATTTGAAGCATTTCTTTAACCGATGGTTCAAAAAAATACTATGCACAAATGTTGGAAAAACAATTAGATTGCGCAGTTTAGGAAAAAAAACTTGTGTGATTTAACTAGTAAGATATTCTTGATCAAACCAAAGTGAGCCGTCGGCTGTTGTAAAGATTTGCATTATTCCTTTTGGGTTTCATTCGGAAATATTTTTAGATAGAAGCTGTGAAATACCAAAAATTACAAAAAAACAATTAAAAAAAAGAACCAAAAGGATTTCCCAAAACTTTTTAGAATCATAATGCGTGACAATTGAAAACTTGATCAGCTAACCTTCATCAGTTGACAACATCACACAACGTACGCTACGCATGCTTATGGGTTGAACACCAGCTTGCAATATGACCCATCAATGGGGAAATTGTTGTTATTTATGCAGAAATCGATCACGCTGCTTTTAAAATAGTACATAAGAATGAGAAATGGAAAAAACTAGAGTTGGACCTTAAAATAAAAAAACAATAATGGAGTTCTGTATCTAGTCGATTATGCTTATTTTGTTGTTGTGCTCTATAAAAGGATTTCTGCTTGAATGGGAGTGGTTTCTTGATTTTTGAGGATATCGTCCAGTCCTCATTTACTTGGTGAGACATCAATATAGTTGTTGCTGAAAACAAAAACAAAATTGTGTAAAGCTAGCCAAGCCTGTGAATATATAGTTTAGTTAGCGTGCTCCCAGAGTATACTCTACATTTTTTATTTTTATGAGATGTTTTCATAATGAAAACATACATTAAGTAGTCTTTCATGTGAAAATATGAGAAGATTATTTTACTTTTAGGTCACATCATCAAAAACAATTCCATCTGTAATTTCACGTCAAGAATTAAAAAGTCTTCTTCAAGCACTACCATGTGAAATATCGGTGTTAGAAACAGACTTCGGTAAACAGCCTGAAACTGATTTTCAAGCGTAAGTTTTATTTGTTTGATTTAGATCTATCTTTCTGTACAAAACTAATATTAGAATGAGTTTTGTAGTGCTCATATACCTAAAGCTCAATATTTTGATCAACTTGAATGTACAACTCCTACGGACTTTATACCTCGTGGCTTACCAGACGTGCAATGTTTTGAAGAATACTTAACACGCTTAGGAGTTTCGAATACAGCTCATATTGTTCTCTATGATCGTTCACCAACTGGGTTTTTAGCTTTTAGCCGTGCTTGGCTTGTATTCCAAGTATGTTAAAAATCACCTGTAAAACTCATGTGCATCGAAATATAATTATTCTAGACACGTGATGTCAAGAATTTATCGATTCTCAATGGAGGTTTTCATAAATGGACAAAAGATATCAATTAGATTGAGTCGTCAAACAGTAGTGATCCGAAAAGCGAGGTAGAATATACATCGTTGATGAGTCTTGTAACGTAATCATTTGTCTGTTTAGAAGAAAAGGTTTACAGTGAATTTGTACCTAAAAATGATACGAACTTTTGACCAAATGATTGCAAATTTATCTCTCGACGTTAGCAGTACTAAACGTGTTCAAATCGTAGATGCACGACCACCCAATCTATTTTATGGTATGTTAACATGTATTGCTTAGAATAAGTCTTTTATTTAGCATTTTGAACTAAATGGAAAACAATTCAAATCTTATTTACATGTTGCAGTTGTTTTTCACATAATGCACTTTTTCGTAGGTACAAACGCCGGACATATGCCTGGCGCATTGCATCTACCTTACTCATCCGTAATAGATCAAGCAAATCAATGTTTGAAATTAAACGATGAACTTGCAGAAAGTAAGTTGTCGATATATACCCTAGTCGAACATCTTGTAAGCAAGATCTTGAAATCTTGGGTCCGATAAGCAAGATCTTGACAAGATCATGAAAAGATAATTTGTATGTGAATAGCTTGCGCGCATCGGATACATCTGT